TCATCTTCATGCATGGAGATTTGGTGGTACCCTCTGAAAGCATCGAGGAACGACATCAACTCGCACCCCGCCGTCTCGTCCACCAGCTGGTCAATGTTGGGGAGAGGGAACGGGTCCATGGGGCATGCCTTGTTCAGGTCAGTGTAGTCAACACACATTCTGAACGTCGGCGGTTTTTGTGCGAGGACGACGTTGGCCAACCATGTCGGGTACTTCACCTCTTTGATGTGTTTGATTGAGAGGAGCATGGCGACCTCTCCCTTGACGAAGTCCCTCCTGTCGGCGGACAAGTAGCGCCGCTTCTGTTTGACCGGCGCGGAGGCCGGATCGACGGTCAGCCGGTGAGTGATCACCTGGCGGCTGATGCCTGGCATATCGTCCGGGCCCCACGCGAAGACAACGGCGTATGACCGTAGGACGAGGAGGATGGCGTCTCATTGGTCCTGGGGGAGTTGCTTTCCGACCCTGAGGACCCGCTCCGGCCGGGAGGTATCCAAGGGGATTTCCTCGATCTCCTCGGCCGGATCCGCGTGTGGCCTCTCCTCGTCCATGGCGACGGCGGCCGTAATGGTGTCTATCCGCTGTCCTTCCCTTTCGGCCGGCCTTGTTAGCTTGAGATAGCAAGCTCTGGCTATCCTCTGATTTCCTCTGGCGTAGCCGATGCCGTCATTGGTGGGGAACTTCAAGCATAGGTGCTTCATGGAGATGATGGCCTCCAAGTCCTCCAGCGCTGGCCGGCCCAAGATCAGGTTGTGGGCGCACTGGAGGTTGACCACCATGAACTCCATGCTGATTTTGGCATGGTGGGGGCCGTCACCGACTTCCACGGGGAGGACTATCGTGCCCTCGGCGTCGATAGAGTCCCCGGTGAAGCCGGATAACGGGGTCTTGATCGGCTTCAGCAGAGCTCTGTCCAGCTTCAGCTGCTTGAAGGTGTCCAAATACATCACATTGACGGAGCTCCCCGTATCGATGTAAGTACGGTGGATGATGGAGTCACCGATCTCACATCGGATGACGAGGGCGTCCCTGTGTGATTCCGTACCCGGAGGCAGATCCTTGTCGGTGAAGGTGATCGCCTCCGTTCGCTGCTTCTTCGGCTGGGGGGGAACGTGGGACACCTCCCCAATGTAAAGGGATTGGGCCCATTTCTTTCTCTGAGTGGCGGAGTCCCCCCCAGTGTTCCCACCTACGATGAGGTGGACGTGATTCTTCTTCGGCGGAGGCTCTTCGAAGTCCTCGTCGTCGCTGAGTCTACCAATCTCCCGCTTCTTCGCAGAGGGTTCGCCCCCATGTTTGCCGGTGTTTACCCAAGTGTTCTTGCGTGGGGCACCTTTGACAAACTGGGAGAGTTCCCCCTGGCGAATAAGGCGCTCGATGGCCTTCTTCAATGTGATGCAATCGTCGGTGTTGTGCGACGAGTTCTTGTGGAACCGGCAGTATGTGCCGCCCTGCTGGATGGCAAGGATCTCCTCGGCCGGCCGAGGAGCCTGCTCGATGAGGCCGTGCTTCTCGGCATAATCTAGGATGGTGCCGACCGGGTGGGTGAGGGTTACCCCCGGCCGTTCCAGCCTCGGCCGCCAGTGGCGGTCTTTCTTACTCTGTCCACCAGCGCCGTGGCGGCCCTGGGCACCCTGGCCGGCCGGGGACGGACCCGGGGCCGGCGAAGGATTTGTCTTCTTGGGGGGATGGCCCCCCTCTCTCTTGTGGTTGTGGAGCTCGTCGGCGTCGGCATACAAGCCTCTGCGCTGGAGCGCCTTGGCGTACGACCTCGGGGGGTCGGTGATGAGGCTCCTAGCGTACGGGGAGCTGCGGAGGGCTCCCTGGTACAAGGCGAGGAGGGTGCGCTCATCAGCCCCCTCGACCTCCTCGGTCTCCCTCGTCCACCGATCGATGAATGACCGGAGGGACTCCTCGTGCTGCTGCTTGACGGAGAGGAGGTGGGTGAAATACTTCTTCGCGCGCTTCCTCCCGGCAAAGTGAGTGAGGAAGCGCTGGGCGAGATCCTGCCATGAGTCGATGCTTCCTTCTGGGAGCCCGTTGAACCACTCGTACGCTGGCCCCTCGAGAGTAGAGAGGAACCAACGGCAGAGGTATTCGTCAGACGCGTTCACCATCAGCATGTTGTTCTGGTAACGGCTGAAGTGCTCCTGGGGGTCTGATCGGCCATCGTAGGACTTGATGGCGTTCCCCCTGTACTTCTCAGGGATGGGGGCCGAGAGAACCCTGTTGGTGAAAGGGGTCCTCGTCCTGACCTGGATGATGGGGTCACCCCGCCCTTCGGCCAGCTCCCTCTCCAGGGCGCTAACTTTGTTCATGAGCGCGTTGAGGCCGGGGTCGTTGGAGGCGCCGACCGTAGGGATGTTGGCCGACTGCTTGGCCTCCATCTGAGCCAGCCTCCTTTCCAGCTGGGCGATGACCTCGTCCCGGGGGTCCCTATCGGCCGCGGCGGCGCCCGTCTGGTTCCTTAGGCGCTCGTTGTGAGCCGCGTTGATCTGGTGACGCACGTCATCCTCGTGCAACTTCCCCTTGCCCTTGTCCGGGCGGGGCTGGTCCGCTGTCCGGGACACAGACCCCAAGCTTTCCCTTGGCGAGCCAGGACGAGGATCGCCAATCCGTCCCGCCATCCTCTCCGAAACCGGACGACGACGCGTGTCACCTAGCCTATTGAAGGCAGAGGCTTTTCCACGCGCTGGGGTCTGCCCGGGCCGAAGAGGGGAAGCGGGGTGGGAGTGGGACGACGCCGTATCCTGGGCCATAACCCCCTCATTGTTGCCTATCTGGACGGCCAACGGTTGGGGATGAGGAGGTGGAGTGACGTTTCCCCCGGTCCTTGGTAAGAGTGCGCTGAGGACGGTGGGGTTCTGAGCCAGGCTGGCGATGATGACCGATAGCGCGGCCTGGACGTGCGGATCCACGGACGGAGAGGTCGCGGCCATAGGCGGGGCCGGGGCGTGATCCGTCTTTTCAGCTCGCTTCTTGTCCAAGCCGAGGCGGGCATCAGGGGCTCCGCCGTTGAGTTGGTTGCGGAGGTCCGTTGTGAGGTTGAAGGCCTCCTGGAAGAGGTCCCCTCCGCCGACCTGGTCGGCCGTGGCGTCCTCATCGTGCTCCCTGGGCTCTTGGTCCTCAGGGATGGCTTTGCTGACGAGGTTGCGGTTTGACTTAGTTCTCCCCATGATCAGTGGTTAGCTGTGCTTGGTAGCGACGAAGGGTGCTAACTTGATTGTTCTAGCTCTCAACGAGAGCACCAAATGATAGAGTATATCTAGAGAGAAGTGAGAGCTAGAGAGAGAAGTGCAATAATATGCTTCAATAGAATGATTTTGTAACCCCTATAACTACTCCCAAGGGGAGTATTTATAGAGAAAATTAGGGTTGGGCTCCCAAGCCTTGGGCTTGGGAGGCCCATTTACAACTGGACCGCTACTGGGCCGAATACAAAGCCACTAATGGGCTGTACAAATGAGTAAGTATAAAATCTGATTCTGGGAGGTCTTCGTGGCCGACGAGGGCGTGGCCGACGAGGGCACGGCCGACGAGGGCACGGCCGACGAGGGCACCCGGGTTCCTTGGACTCAGGACCATAATCCGAGTTGGCCCCTTTTCGGACGACGAGGGCGTCTTGGCCGACGAGGGCGCCACTCTGTTGTCTTGTGCTTTCTGTTCCGAGTATGTGGGTCCGGGGGCTCGGACCCATATACTCCATCAATTTATCTCTCCTCTGCACAACTCTCCACCACACAATTCCCACTTTCTTAATCTGTGTGCCATTTGTACTATGGAAGTAAATTCTGGAACGGAGGGAGTATTAGTATAAATAGATTAGGGGTAAATTTCTATAAATAAGTGCTTTATTATAAATAAAGTTATGTTTATTACTTTATATTTTAATTATTAATGAAATATGAATTGTATGAAAACAAAGAAAGGATAGAATTGGAGAGTAGTCCTATTTATAAAATTTTTAAGTTATTTTGACAATTAAAGTTTCATTTAGTTCTGTTTGGAGAATTCTCCCTAATAATAATGTAGTAGTACTAAAAATAATAATATAATACTCGTAACAACAACAACAAATAATACTAATAATAATAAGAATAAAAATAATAACAATAACAAGAACAACAACAACCACAATGACGACGAGGAAGAGGACGATGAGGAGGACGACGAGGATGACGACGACAACAATGACAACAACGACAACAACAACGACAACAACAACGACAACGACAACGATAATGACAATGACAACAACAACAACAACAACAACAACAACGATCGGAACCGAAATCCTGCCTATCAAATGAACTTCAAAAATCCAAACATTCAAATCTCTTCCTGTTTCAGGCCTAAAACAGAAACAAATGTTACTAAAGAGAAAATAACACTGAAATAAAATATTTTCACAAAGCTCTCCTGATATGGAGGTGGTTCCGGAGGAGGACGAGCTATTCCAATATGGGGATACCAACTTCACCACCGTCGGAATGGCTAACCAAGGCTTCACGATCCCACCTCGATACAACCTCCCAGCCACACCTCATTCATCCGCCAACGTTATGTCATCCGACGTAGTTGCAATCCCAAGCGTTAGAACACTTAAAATTAGTATAATCTGCCGCTCCAACAACGTATTCATAAGGGTCGCGAAAAAATGTCAAACCCTAAAGGAGAGGAGACGAAGGCTATGAGTAGATTATTAAAGTATAAAACTCTATATAATAATCATGATTAAATTTTTTATTATGATTATCAACATATAAAAAATCACATTTTATCCCTTACATATATACGGAGTATTTCTTAAGTTTTTTAACACAGTTTAAATATTAATAATATGTGAAAAAACATATTGAAAAATTGTAACGTTCCAAAAAAGATGTATTTCGAAATAGATATGGGGCACAAGAATTTATTGTGCATTAAGAAGGTAACACACAAAGATCAGTTTTTTTATAACACTGATTTATTTAAATGCATTTAGAGAATAATAACGTTGGGGTTTGACAGAGGATGTCGTTGGAACGACAAGTCCAAAGAGAGGGAGGAAAAGCAGAAAGGAAGATACAGAGGATCAGAGAGAGGGAGGGAGGGTTAGGGGGTTCAATTCTAGATAGAGAAAATTCTGAAAAAGAACGAGAAAACAGAGAGAGTTGAACCCCTCTCTCTCTCTCTTCGTTTTCATTGGCAATTTCCATTTCACATTCTTTTCATATATTCATATCCTTTCTCTTGCTAAGCGTCGTGGCCTTCATATCCTCAGCGATTTCTGCGTTCGAATTCAAGAATCGCAGTCAAACGAATATACGTACCAAGGTTGGTTCTTTTATAATTCAAAATAATATCTGCTGCAATTTTATAATTTTGAGCTTCATGTCTTCTTGATTTTGGTAGCATTTTCGTTGAGAAAATAAATATTTCAGGCTATTCTTTGTGTTTGTTGCAAATTTTAAACTCTTGGGATCGTTTAGCTAATCGGTTTCTTTTATTTCACAAAAAATATTAACTTGAATATTTAAGGCGAGTTTTCTTGTTTATTCAGCAGTAGTGTGATTTTTTTGAGAAAATACAAAATCTCTCCACAGTATAGGAGATCCCAGATTCAAATCTGCCTTATTAAAGGTTTTGGAATATATTTTTGTTTACATTTTCCATTCCATTATCCTAACTATTGTATTGGATAAAAATGTCAACTTTAATATAGTAATAGTCCTTTGTTTTTTGGGGGTTATGAAATTCGCAGGATTAAGAATACTCCAAGGTTTGAGCTATTTGAATGGGAAATTGCTGTGTCACTCCGGTTGGTTCTTCAGGGAATAGGGAAAAAAACAAAACAAAAAAGAACAATAAGGGAAATAAGAACAAGAACAAGGGAAACCTATTCTCTGTTGAGGATGGGGCAACATATCAAGGAAATGACGGTCCCAAAAAGCTAATAGTGTTGAAAGATCCCACAGGGCATAACATTCATGCGAAATATGATTTGGGGAGGGAGCTGGGGAGAGGAGAGTTTGGGATCACATACTTATGCACCGACGTTGATTCGGGTGACAAATTCGCGTGCAAATCCATATCGAAGAAGAAATTGAGGACTGCAGTGGATATCGATGACGTGAGGCGCGAGGTTGAGATCATGAGACACTTGCCGAAACACCCGAACATTGTGACCTTGAAAGACACTTATGAAGATGATATCGCAGTGCACATTGTGATGGAGTTGTGTGAGGGCGGAGAGCTGTTTGACCGGATCGTGGCGAGGGGACACTACACCGAGAGGGCAGCTGCTGGGGTTATGAAGACCATTGTGGAAGTTGTCCAAGTACAATTTCTTTCTTTTCTTATCTTCCCTTAATTCGTTATGTTGACCAGATAAGAGGATTAGAATCATAAGCCTCTGTTGTATTCTTATGTATTTATTACTTGTACAATGTGGGATGCCGTAGCAGTTTTACAGAGAGTTATCTAATCATAGATGTTTGTGATATTGCATTACAGATGTGCCACATGCATGGAGTGATGCACCGTGATCTCAAACCTGAAAACTTCCTTTTTGCAAACAAAAAAGAAACAGCTATGTTGAAGACAATTGATTTTGGGCTATCTGTCTTCTTTAAACCTGGTGGGCAAACATCAATAGTATGAAACATATTATTTTACCTTATACTTCATGGTGAGGCTTTTATGGTCTTCTATACTGATTTTACTGTATATTCTTATCTAGGAGAGATCTTTAATGAGATAGTGGGAAGTCCATATTACATGGCTCCTGAAGTTCTGAAGCGGAATTATGGCCCAGAGGTTGATATTTGGAGTGCGGGGGTGATACTTTACATTCTTCTTTGTGGTGTTCCTCCCTTTTGGGCAGGTCTATTTCACCTTTATTACTCTACCATTTTCTCATTTTCTGATGTGCACTCGATGATTGAGTAATAGCTCTGTTTACTAGCCTGACCCGCCTTCTTTTACTTGGCGTCCCCGCAAGGCCAAGGGTCTGGGGAAGGGTACCACCACAATGGTGGTTTGACAATGCAAACCTTCTGTTGTAATTTTGACAAGAGGTCGCTCCCAAGACTTGAACTCGTGACCTCTTAATACTGTAACCGGTGCTCCAAGGCTCCCCTTCCGCTTTTGACTTGCATCTATGACTAACATGGATGTTATTTCCCTCTCACAAAAAAAATAAGCATTTAAAGCTATTTTAGTTTGAATTACCTTATCAAACAAGACCTTATTAAGCTATCCCACACAGACTGCGTATAAAAATACAAACCAACATATAAAGCATTGAACTCCTTTATGAGGTTGACCTTTTAGAATGAGACCCAAGTCTTAATATGATATCAGAACAAATTAAGCTCTAGCAAGCAATTACATCCTCGTAAGCCTTCACAATGAGCACACGGGTTACAAAATTGGTCTGCTCCGATGAGTTACCATCGGATTAAGCTATCCCACACAGATTTCATATAAAAATACAAACCAACATATAAAACATTAGACTCCTCCTTCTGTGAGGTTGACCTTTTAGGATGACCCCAAATCTTAATAGACCTAAGCTTGGAATATGAAATTATACACCTAAAATATTACTATATTTGCATATCACTATTCAATTTTCCCATTGTTGAATTTTGGAAAAAAGTGCTGCAGTTACAAGATGAAATGAAACAAAAAAAATTGTCATGCTCCATTTTGGATGAAGTACTTTTCAAATCGATTATAAGTTGATGGCATTCTTATACTTGTGAGTTAATTCTTATTGATCATTCTCCATGCAGAGACTGAACAAGGAGTAGCTCAGGCAATCATTCGCTCCGTAGTAGATTTTAAGAGAGATCCGTGGCCAAAAGTTTCAGATAATGCAAAGGACCTTGTAAAGAAAATGCTTAATCCAGATCCTAAGAAACGTCTCACAGCTGAGCAAGTTCTTGGTAGGCCTTTTGTAACCAAATACTCCGTCCGTGCCAAAAAAACGTTTTATCCCAGAAAAAGAGTCATACTTCATCAAACGGAGCTAATTTTCATGTTGTTGTGAAATCAAAGTTATAAACAAGGTGAACATGATAAGATAAGCTAAATCACAAAATAAGTTTTAAAAGTATATAAAATAGGATTATATGACTTTTAACAGTTGTACTTTGACCAAGCATGCTATATTTTGGAATAGGAGAGTTACTACTTTTTAGGTCTAATTCTTGTAGGTAGTGAATATGCTTACCTTGTTTTCCCTTTAATTTTGCTCAAATGAGTTGCAGAGCATCCATGGCTACAAAATATAAAGAAAGCACCCAATGTTCCTTTGGGTGAGACTGTTAAGGCAAGACTGAAGCAATTTTCTGTCATGAACAAGCTCAAGAAAAAAGCCTTGACGGTAAAGTTTTTGTTGGAACTATCAGCTTGTATTACTTTTGTTGTTTAAACTTGATAATATTGATATAATAGTTTTGGTGCAAAAACCAAACAGGTCATTGCTGAGTTTTTGTCCGTGGAGGAAGCTGCTGGTATAAAGGAAGCATTTGATGTGATGGACACCGGAAAGAGAGGCAAAATAAACATTGATGAACTTAGAATCGGCCTTCAAAATCTTGGCCATCAAATCCCCGATGCAGATCTGCGCATCCTTTTGGAAGCTGTAAGCGCAATCCCTCTAACCATTTTCAACTTTCGGAACAGACTCTTACAGTGTAGGGGAATGACTTATTTAATAATAAGGGTGTGTATGGTGTGTATAGCTAATTAAAAATATGTGGTCTTCATAATTGAGTTTTGACTCTATAGAAGTCCAAAGTTTATTATTTCTTCCAACTTTCCACTAATCTCTCTCCCTACCTTTCTAAGTTAATGAATGTAATGTGTGAATGAATTTCTTGCAGGCTGATGTTGATGGAGACGGGAATTTGAATTATGGGGAGTTTGTTGCGGTTTCCGTTCATCTGAGAAGGATGGCTAATGATGAGCATCTGCACAAAGCATTTTCATTCTTTGATCGGAACCGGAGCGGCTATATTGAAATTGATGAGCTTCGGATTGCTTTAAGCGATGAAGACTATGGCGGTGATGACAACAACAATGAGGAAATAATCATTGCTGTCATGCATGATGTTGATACAAATAAGGTTTGTTTTCAATTTCTCCACCCTGCTAGGCTGCTGCCTGATCCCTAGTGCTATTACATGAAAAAGAGTCAGGTTCACACTCGACTTGGCAAGTTCATCTGAGGAAACTTGTTGAACTCGAGCTATGTTTGATATAACATTTTAGAAATATGTTCTAAAATCCATACCCAGCTGGCAAGGCATTACGTGTTCCCCTTTTACGCATGTGCCTAGTGCTGTGAAAAAACCTTGGCTTGGACTCAGCTTACCTACTTGAGAAAGCTAGCCGGGTTCGAGCTCTATTGATACGCTATACTTAAATTACCCTACTTTGCTTGGCTCTGGAACTTGGCTTGGTCTCTTAAATAGGCATAAATAGTTGTCCCATCACTCATGAGTTTTGATAATACATCTGTCTCGTGAGTTCGATTTGATACTCGTTTGATAACAAATGCAAGCCATCCTGATTCAAAAGTTCAACTCAGGTTCATAATGGTCCCTTGATATCCTGTGTGAAATGGAACATCTGGTCCTGGTCTTAATATGTCTGGCCTGATCTAACTTTTTTGGTCTAGTTAAAATAAGTAATAATGATGTTAATAAGAGAAAGAACAAATCTTTCATTCATCATTTTCATTTACCCCAGTGCCGCAAAAGCTCCCACCTACGGTGGGGTAAGGGGGTCGGATGTACGCAGTCTTACCCTGTACTAAAGAACAAATCTTTCAAAAAAAAAAGAGAGAACAGAAGGTGAAGAGAAGTCCCAGCACCTTACGCTTCTTAATCATGTCATAACAGTATTTGTCTAGCTAACACAAACACCACACACATTTGGCAGGATGGACGGATAAGCTATGAGGAATTTGCATCAATGATGAAGGCGGGTACGGATTGGAGAAAAGCATCACGGCAGTATTCTAGAGAGCGTTTCAATAGTCTGAGCTTGAAGTTAATAGGGGATGGCTCCTTACAGCTCTCCAATGAGGACACATGAATGAACAAGAAGATAGTGTAGTGTACACATTCCTATATTTTCACGTTTTTTTTAATTGTTGATTTACTAAATTGAACAAGTTGTTTCTGCATTTCAAAATTTTCACCTTTGCATATAATTCCTCCACGTTTTGGTTTCTTCTTGTTCAGGTGTGCATTCTTCTTGTAGCTTGTGTTTCTTTCTAATGGCCGTATTAGGTTTGGATGATCCTTAGTAATATTGGTTGAATTGAATCAAATTGATGAAATGCTAGTTGAATCAGTTGAATCTATTGAATTATGAAAAATTTATATTTAAAATATATTTTATTAATAAAATAATGAAAAGTTGAGTGATAAGACCAATGGGATGAAAGTATAGATTTTCAAACGGGCTGTTAGGTGAAAAAGGAAAAGAAACAAAGAATAAATAATTGGCCAAATTAATTCTCTGAATGAATTATAAGGGTTTGTCTAATGACCCCTGTTTTCGACTTATCAAGAGTCAACTTCTTCGTCAAACACGTAACTTTCGATTTTGCCTCTTCAATTGCGTAATAATGATAAAATAAGTAAGGTTGTCTGGTAAATGTTTAGTCTTTGTGTATTTTATAACTGTCAAAGTTTGGTCTGATCTGATTTGGTATGACATGTCTAAGTTTGGTCTGGTTTGGTGTATTTAACTTTGATTTGATCTGGTTTGATCTAGGACCGAAAAGAGTCTAAACGAGAACATCTATACTTCTACATACCCTTAATATAGCACATAGTTTGAATATAATTTGCAGAAGTAAATGTTCAATGTGCACTCTACGGTTTTTTTTTTCAATTCAAATATCATCCAGTGCGTTCATAATGATTTTCGCAAACAAGGGACAACCAAACCCCAAATTAAATCAATTCAAGCGAACAGTAACAGGAACCTCAAAGTACACCATGACAGATATGGCAGAAAGTTTCAACAATGATCGGATATAAGATATGTAGCTTAGTTCCTCCAGCTCCCGTCGGCATCACCTCCTCCCCTGGAGTAACACATCATTCATAAATTCATCAAAAATTCAATGCAAATTTAAAAACTCAATGCATATTTTGGAAAAATTGTACTAAATATGAATTAAATAGTCATTTTTTAGTAGAACTTTGAGTGGGATCTACTTTTGATTTGGGTCGGGACCGTCGGATCAAAGTGGATTCGGATTCCCTTTGGTAAGGGGTTCAATTCGATATGTGGTACCCTCAAAATAGATTATGGGTGAATGAGAAATTGATTATCAAAATTCACACGTTGAAATGGGAAGATTGAAAAAATGGAAAGGTTTCTCGTGGCAATTGTCCGATTTGTCCTGCACTGGAAAATCCAAGGGATTGACACCACCTTATAAATGAGATCCTCTTTGAAGGAGTTGAAATTACGTGAAAAGGCTCTCTTCCTCACGGGAGGTGCAAACCAAATCCCGGAATGGGAAGGAAATTAACCACTACTTGAGTGCACGAATGATGTCCAAAAATCCATCTTACACAGATAAGATTATTTTTTTCTTTTTCTGAATTGTAACGTACATTTCTTTTTTCTGTTGTGGAACTACCATTAGAACGTTGGCCAATGTTCTAAATCATTAATCCATGTTTAATGGGTGGCTTTACCATAATAAGTATGGGATTAAATCCGATTAATGCATGTTTAATGCTATGGCTCCTCCTCTCCTATATAATAATAGTTGATATATTTTAGGAATTCTTGTGTATTTTGACAACAACTGATATTTTATTATAAATATATCTGCGAGGGATCCTAAGGGAGTAATCTTTTCCCATTATTTCACATGGTATCATGAGCCCAGATTTAATTTTTTCTCTCTCTTTCCCTAAGCTATCACGGCAGCTAAGCTCATGACTTCTTCGTCAATGGACTCGTCCGCAGCTATGTCGTCTTCCGACGTAAACTCCTCCGTCGCAGCCTCTTTCTCCATGGCGCCAGAGATGCTCACTTCTGTCACCAGCATGATGGCGCAGCAAGGTCTATCTTCCTCGATGACCGCTGCTCAGGTTTCCGGCGCAGTTGGTTCTCCAATTTTGCGGCTGACCACTTCCACGCTCTTCACCAGCTTTCTGCCGCCACCTTTGTTCTCCACGGCGGAGCCGTACTCGATGTTTCAATCACTGCCACCTCGGTTTCCGTGGCAGTCGTTCGGTGGTCCTACTTCCGTGGCTACTCCGCCTCCGCCGATGCAGTCTTCTCCGTTCTATGGCTTCACGTTTTCTGGCTCGTCGGGTGTAATTCGGCCTACTGGTCCGCTCACATTTGGTTCTCTGATGGCGTCTCTTGCTCAGTCCATCTCTCATATCACCATTGTCTCGCAGATTGTACTATCAAACTCAAGGCAGTTGAGGATTACCTTACCTGGCGCACACAATTTGAATCATTCTTGGTGTCTCAGGGTGTCTTTGGCATGGTTGATGGCTCCATCCAGGTACCCCCTATGTACACCACTGATTTTAATAATCGTCAAGTTCCTAATACAGAGTATTATCATTGGCTGAGAGTAGATCAAACAATTCGGTGCTAGATATTTGCTACTCGTACTCGTGATGTTTTAGTTGATGTCCATGACTTAAAACACTCTTTTGCTATCTGGGATAGACTTCAGATTCAATTTATGTCTACTAGTTTACCCCGGTGTATGGAACTTAAACGATTATTATCCAACATAAAAAAGAGTCATTGGAACAGTGTTTGAGAGACATAAAAAATCTTGTTGATGCTCTAGCTGCTATTAATTCTCCTGTGTCGGATAAAGAGTTGCTCCAGTCCATCATTACAGGCTTGGCTCCTGAGTATGCTTCCGTGGTTACCACAGTCTCTTTATTTCCCGACAATTTTCCCTTTGATTTTTTACAACCCTATGATAGAGTATTAACTCCTAGAGAGAAGTGAGAGCTAGAGAGAGCGCGGTTAATGTTTTTCGGCCCCTTACAACTACCTTTGGGAGTATTTAGGGAAAATATGGGTTGGGGCTCCCAAGTCTTGGGCTTGGGAGACCCATTACAAAATAAGGCCTCTATTGGACTAGATACAAGCTTTATTTCAACTAAGTATAAGATCTAACTTTGCTTTGGTCTCTTTGGAGGACCAGGTTGACGGAGTGCCTGGCCGATGGGGGATCATGTTGCGCTCCTGGGCTTTTGGGCCTGTTGAGGTTTATTCCCGATAGGTTCAAAGGCCCAACATAAACCTTTGAATATTATGGGTGATTAACAAAAGAAAGTATTTAAGGAAAGATTGTCACGCCCCGGACCTAGGGTTATAAATAAATCGAATCGAGTCGAATAATGAGATTTTGTATTTGTATTTGTTTAACTTTTTCGAATACGAGTTCGAATTCAAATATGAAACGAATATTAATTTTGATTTGTATTTGTATTTGTTTAACAATACGAATAGTTAACGAATCACATACGAATATCGAATCGATTTGAGCATAGGTTAAATAGTAGTCAAATATCACTCTAAAATAACTTTTCTTATACTCCATATTTTTTATGTTGTAAATGCATGCTATGACTTAATATGTATTTTTAGAATTTAAATTTAATGGATGAATGCATTTTTAGATGGTGCACAGTATGCTAAAGTGAATTAATTTTATGATTAATAAATATAAATCTATTTCAAACTTTTTGAAGTAAACACGAACACACACATATTAGAAATTATACTTAGAATGTATGAAATAAGTTGATAATCGTATATATCAAAGTCAAACAACTCTAATTTTATTCCTCAAATTGAATGCATAATTATTTGTATTGCATTGGAAAGACATTTGAACCAAAAAATTGATTTGTATTCGTATTTATATTCTGATTTATTACAATGGGTTTGGAATCTGTATGCAAAAGTGTATATATGGACTACACTTTGAGGGTATTGCTATCTTTTAAAAGTTATATTATTATTATTATTATTATTAATATTAATTTTAATAATAACATTATTATTAATCGAATATATTTGATTAATATTCGAATCGAATACACTAATATTCTTAATTGTATTTGATAACAACTCGAATCAAATTTAATATTCTTATTTGTATTTGTATTTGAATTTTCCGAATTCAAATCGTCTTATACGAATTCAAATCGCGAATCGAGCACAAATTATTTGATTCGTTTACAACCCTACCCGGACCGCATCCGTGCCACGTAGACAACCGCCTTACAACCCAATAAGAACAACAATAGTTCATCCCTATTGAATTATACAAGGCGTCCGATAGATTCTATTGCCAAACCGATTAGTAAACACATACAATCAACATCAATATCATAATCAAACAAATGCGGAAATAATATGTTTGATATTTAGCCACATGTGACAAATACGAGCACGTAGGCCCTCAAATTGTTTAATAAATAAACGGTGTTCAAATATCCATGAGCAAGTTCTATGTTTGAAAATAAGAATGGAAGCATGAACCAGATCTTCCTCATTCGATGATCACCCTAGGCAAATGTGCAGGTAATAGGACACTAGCCTTAACCTGAAAAATAGTGAGGCCCCCAGAGGGGTCAGTACTTCACAGAAAGAAGTACTAGTGACAAGCAGGCTATACGAGGAATAACTAATGTTTCAGACACGAGACCCAAAAATAGTGTGATACATGTATAGTTGTAACTCATCCACTCGATGATACATACTGTATATATACTTGTAAAATACTTAACCCGTAGGTCATATACATTTAAAGAGTATTTTAGAGATAAAGTCCTTACCCGAACATTTCTCATTCTTGGCCCGAATGCCTAGCTCACAAGCTACATTCTACATTCGTAATATACTACTGAGTGTTTTAGGATCATTTACCGTCCATGGGTTCTCAACCCCAACCTGGAGTATTCTGGATCATTTACCTCCCAATGGTACTCAACCCCAACATGTAGTATTCTGGATCATTTACCGCCCAAGGGTACTCAACCCCAACCTGGAGTATTCTGGATAATTTACCGCCCAAGGGTACTCAGCCCCAACCTGGAGTATTTAGGATCATTTACCGTCCAAAGGTACCCTGCCCCAACCTTATTCCTACTAAATCCTAACCTGGATATGGCTATCGTTTCATTCCTTCAACTATGGACAATATCTAGCCCTATAGTCATATAACAGTCCCTGGTAACCAATGTGGATGGGTCCCACCCGAACGGTCCACGTTAACCTACTCAAAAACTGCCCATTTTGGGTATAACCCAATACCCGGTCGGGTA